ATTAAAAATATTAAAAATATTAAAAATATTAAAAATATTAAAAATATTAAAAATATTAAAAATATTAAAAATATTAATAATGATAATCATTAATATGATAAGACAAGAATATCGTGATGAAACTTTTCTTGGTTAAGTAATGTTGTGGTGTGTTTACTACATGGCAGGGGTATTGTTACTTACTATAATGTAATTTTTTTTCTTTGTTAGTTGCCTTCTTTGAATAAAAAATTGAACAATTGTACCATTTATATGTAGACAATCGTCAGTCAAATACAATCGGAGATGTCTTTTTTACACATGAACATTGTACCAGTTTCATGCATAATTGCAGAACAATAAAAAATAGATCTTAGGTAATATAGAAAGTACTAAACCTGGGTCGTTCAAATGCTTTACAACATAATGGATTCTGCCGTGCTCATTGTATGCTCTAGTGTTTATCATGTACTACTGTCAAAAAAAAGAATATATAAAAGGTCACATCATTTTTTTGAATCTCCTGACTCTTTAAATGTCACGAGAAGCTTTAATATATGGTAACAAACCTTAAATTTTATATTTAATATGATTGAGTTTGATAGGTAAACCTATAAATCGATGCATTTTTAATTTCACCAATTCCGCGTGAAGAAATATGCTTGCATGCATTAAATACCCAATGAGAAGCGCAAATTTAAATACCTATGCGACAAAAAACTGCAGAAAATTGAGGTCATAAGATGCACAGGTTCAATAGTTTTTCCTAGAATAAAAAAAAAAAATAAACAAATAAATAAAATAATAATAATAATACCGGTAATAATAATAATAATAATAAAGATAATAATATTATTTAATACGTATTATTCGCCTTATCAAAATTCTTATCTGATGATATTATTTTCCCATGATAAATTATACCGGGTAGCTGGGACACGCGACGTTATTAGACAAACCGAGTAACAAGCAAACGGTATTATTAAACTTGACGTGCAGATACGTAGACATTCCAAAAGTGGGTAACTGAAAAATCGGTATACGTTATACATGCAAGTACCCAAGGGTGAAAATAACACAAAAGAAAAGAATAAAATTAATTTTAATATTTACAAAGTAATAATAAAGGATTTTTGAACAATCTTTGGCGTAACAAGTTTTCAACGTTTAGTAATTTTTTTATAGTTATATTGACAAAAACAAACAAACAAAATGTAGGGTACATGCGTACGAGTTATTATTTGTACTGTACTTCCATTGTGTATACATCCAATTGCATTAGCAAGTCTGAGATGAGTTTTGAATGTTTTACGGCGTAATGAAACTTTCGTGAATTATTGGTGAATTTTAGAATTGCAGACGCCAACATTCCACAGAAATGCACGTAAAATTGTGGTACTGTTTTGATTAGGCAGAAATTAGGCAGGAATTAAATTTTTGAATATATTTGAATATATTTGAATGTATTTGAATACTTTGAATATATTTGAATACTTTGAATATATTGATATTATAATTTTTATTTATTTATTTTTTTTTTCTTTAATTTTTTTTTCTTTTTTTTTTGCCTTTTTTTCTTTGTTTTTGGCTTTTTTTTTTTTTTTTTTTTAGATTGTGCAAAGAATTGATACTCGTTTCAAACAAAAATAACTGGGTTTTGGTACGTCACTTTCTTTTTTTTAATACCTGATACACACGTGGCCACAAGGATTTAATTTTCCAAGCCATGCGTATAAAACAATTTTTTTTTTTTTATTATAAAATGTAACGGTAATAATAAATACATCTTTTAAAGATTATTTTAAGATGAAATTGACCTGTGCTTTGTTGTACAGGATTCTTGATAACATTATTACAGTATTACAGCATCACAGTATTATCTGAAAATCAAGAAAATAATCAGTAATATTTTCTGTAGAGGAATGAAAAAAATCTTGAAAGTAATCGAGTTTCGACCTGAATATAGAGTTCTAACCATGCATTCATTTAGCTTAAAATTATGGCTAGTAGATATTTACTAATAAAATTTTAATCTGCCGAATGATCCATTAAACAAAGGATCGGTAACGCAGTATCAATTTGCTAAATAAGAAATATTATAGGAAAGAACAAAGAAAGGTATTATTGTATGGAAAAGATCGGTAATTTATGGTGCATATGCTTTATTTATACGTAATATATTTATAATATATTTATATTATATTTCTAATATATTTCTATATGTAATATATTTCTAATATATATATTTCTAATACATTTCTAATATATTTACAAAATAATAGTTCCATACATACGTACCTTGTAAACTAAAAACGGGTTTTATCACATGCATTTTTTCTTTGATTAATCTGCCATCAAAAAAAATTGTGATCTTTTATGCTCTTTTATGGCATGCAGTACATAACACAAGTCTTGTAAAGATTTATTTTTGCACTACATATTTTTAATTAAAGTTATTATCTCCACAAACTTTTACAAGAGTTTTTTGCAACAATGAATATTATTGATATGGAATGAATGATATATTTGGTACCTTCCTTTTAACGAAACGAAAAATGAAACTTTTCTCGGGGCGGGAATAAACAATTTCTTATTAGGAATTTGCAGTGTAAATCAATATATGATAAAAAAGATATGATAAAAAAGATAAGATACATCTAATCATCCTCTCTTTACCTTCAAGTTTTCTTATTAGCATTCGAGAATGACTCATTCTTTGCGTCTCAACGTCGATCATATTTGTTTGTTTCTTTCTCGATGTCACTTAATCAATTTAACTTTAATAAAATACGGGGACATCGATTACGTAATCGACCAAAGACGATGGAAATCTAGATATGCAACTACGGTATCGATTATCATATTTTCTGCGAAAATATTAAATAATGCAGCTTTGCTTCCATCATTACGGATTTTGATATTGGTTGAGCCGTAATTCTAGTAAACTTTATCGTTATCGTTATTTAATACATGAATATTTTTGTTAGTTCTATACGATTACGTAATTTTAAAATTAATCCAAATTAAATAATTTAATGTATGTTCATGCATACTATACATACATAATACATATAAAGAATCACTCGATTTAATATTTTTAATTTTTTCTTCGGCTTTATGCTTTAACCAAACTTTAAAAAAAAAAAAAAAAATTTTTATACCTATTTTTATATCGATAAAACTTATTTTTTAATTTAGAATTTCTTTATGCACTAGATGTACCAATAAATTTTATTATCCGACATTTACTATTGCCAAAATAACTATATATTATATGATAGAATATGGTATATATAAATAAAAAAATACAGAAAATAATTTAACATTCAATATATATATATATTTATATACTGTATTGTATATAGTTTATTTATATATATAGTAATAATAATAATTTTATTTTTAAGGCTTTTGATTAATACAGTAATTGTGGCTGCCCAATATCTGATTGGTTTAATCAGTAATCGTTTCATTGGTTAATACATTAGCCGTATCATTAATTAATTAAAAGTTTAAATATACTTAAGATCTGAATTTACACTTGTCATCACCATATAAGTTATACTGTTTATATACTGTATATGTTATTTGATATAACATATATATATATACACATATATATACATATATATATATTATATATATATATAGTATATATATATTTATATTTATATTTGTCTGAATATTTGTCTGAATATTTGTATGAATATTTGTATGAATATTTATAAATATTTATAGATTTTATTTAATGCTTCAAAGCATATTTGTAAAAATAAATTCAGTATAAGAATTAAATTACAGTATAAACACAAAATACAGTATAAAGTATACAGTATATTAGTATAGTATAGCATATACAGTAGTATTATAAACACTACAGTATATACTATTAAGTGTTAATTATAGTTAATTAGTTAAACTAATATGCTCTTCATACTGTATTTAGTAAATATAATTGTTCACATGTTTATAGTTTTGAAGAGTTTAGATACACTCGCATATATTAAATATTACAAACAATATTACAAATGTTATTACAAACCTGTTACCGTATTTTTTAGGTTGTCACATCTTGAAAGAATAATGAATTATTAAAAAAAGTATACAATATCTTTCTTTATCCAATAAAATGTTGATTATTAAAAGTATATCTTACCTAATAAAATGATAATTTTACACAATAAAATGGTTATTAAAATGTATCCAATTTAGTATAAAAAAATTTACATGATATATCAATATATGAAAGCAATCTATTACTGTACGTACTGTACGTATAAGAAATGTAAAAAAAAAAATCACCGTTGGTTGTACATGCAAGTATCCTAACGTAAAAAATGCATACATCAAAGTTTTTACATCCCTTTCAAAAGCTAATGCATATGTAGAAAGTCGAAGTTAAACTTATTATATCTAGCTAAAAAATAAAAAATAAAAAATACACTACATGGGAGTTTTATTACATTGATTCTATTTATAAAATATTCTATAAATTATAAGAATGTGTAAATGATTTTATATTTATAATTCAGTAATTAATAATTCAGGAATTACTATCTAAAAAACTCCCTTTGTGACGCCAGTAATCTTTATAACATTACATTACAGCACTACAGCATTACAGCATTACAGCATTACACCGTTGCAAAACTTTATATAATTAATTATTTCTACAATTATCTTCGGTCATTACTCATCAACAGAGGTCCTCCTGGTCCATATCCACGTGCACTTTCAAATCTGAGTTCATTCTCTACGTCGTCTCCAAAATTTGTCATAATAGTACATGGTCCATTTGATCCAACTGTTGGAAACCAAACATGACGAATCCCCATAAATGCATTACTAAGGAATTGTCCATTTTTGGTGAAAAATACATGTCCGGCATCTGGATTATATCCACATCCTATGGTATCACCGGCATTACCCCATGCTTGGCTGTATTCATGACCACGAAATCCATCATTATATTTTTTTCCATTAGAGTGGAAACCTACGGAATATAAGTTCCATCCGGGTAATCTATTATAAATAATATATAATATATAATAATAAATTAATATAGTAATATATATTATTAGAATTGGGCTAAACCTGAGTTGCGAATATTTATTGTATTTTTTTATGTAAAAGCGGATTTCACCAAAACCTGATCTACAAAGTGATCTACAAAGCGATCACCATATCATAATGTCATAATGTCTTTATTTATTTTCTTTATTTATTTAAAAAATAATATTATCGTTATATCGAGTATCAACATTATAAATATTATAAATACCTAAAAGATGGATATGGCTTGGTAGCCAGCCCTACGGCGATAATGGTATTTCTCGGATCCGGATTTGCAAGAACCGTTATCTCAAAATAATGTAACATCTGACCTTGTCTATGTGGCATAGTTTCTGGTTGTCTAAACGGCGCTTCATAAACTACATCTCCTTCTGTTTGTGGTATAAAAAATGGATAATTTGTTTGTACCATAGCATCTAATCGTTTATTAAATTTAATTATTTTACTATCATCCATAATAGAAACTATTTCTTGTCTTAATAATGTTTCATCTGGATCCCATTCCCAAGCTTTGGCTCCTCCTAAACTTTGAATATATACTACATGTTCCGGTGGTGGTATTTCTTCTTGTGGTGGATTATGTATTGTAAATTGTTCTGCTGCATAAAAATTATCTGATGTTGTTTCTTGATTACGTCCTCCCCAATATGATGAATCAGGTGAATTTAAAAGTTGTTCTTCACCACCGTTATCAACTTGTGTAATTATTGAATGTAATTGAGGTCTACCTGTTGGTGTATCACTTTTCGATGACTCTGTTCCCATTAATGAAGATTTCAAACTTTGTACATGATCTGAAAGTTTTCCTGATTTTAAACATTTCACACAACCCCAAATTATACCTCCTAATAAAATTATTACTATGATACTACTAATTATTAAAATTATAATACAGTTGCTATCACAATAATTATTGTTTATTGTTCTTTTAATACTATCTAACAGTTTTATCATCGTTTCCCTAGCATTGGTAAACGATGTGTCATCTTCTGCTGCTGTGCTTTCTATCATGTTATGAATATTTAATCCTAATATTACTTTTATAAAAAAAAATATATTTTTTTTTTAAAAAAAAAAAAAAAAAAAAGTGAGGTCTCGCCTCTGTTTTCTTTATTAAATTTAATATGTAAGTACATTATATATTGTTACAACGTAGTACATATGTTGTTTCTAAAAAAACTAAAGGCTTAGGCTACAGGTTGTAATCCAATCTGATTTACCTACGACCCAAACTTTGCCAAGAAGGGTTAAAAGGCCCCGGTAAGGTATTATATTTTTTTTTACAAAGTTATGATTGCCATTGTTCGAGTTTATGTTGTATTTCTTGATTTGGTTGTTGTGTTGTTTGTGTGATTGATATGATTTGCTGATATCGTGTCCAGATGTTTTTGTATATAACCTTAGCTGTTTTGTGTAGCAGTATGGTAGATAGGTTATACTTTGATCGTGTTGGTGTAGTATTGATATTGCGTGTTATAGGCAAGTTGAGTAGGCCGAATGTTGTGTGCGTGGAGTTTGTTCTTGATCTGTATTGTATGGCTTAACTGTTCTATAATTGTTTTGGTGAGTTGTGATACGAAGGGTGTATATTTTGTTTTGTATTTGTTTAATATAGGGGTGATGGCTTCCAAAACTGTTATTTGAATATTTTTGTTGTTGCTGGTACCGATAAGTATGTGGTGGCTAGTTTCTGTTGCCTGTTGACATCTTGGGCAAAGTATCTAATTTTATCTAATTGGATTACGTTTGTGTAGTGTTACAAACTTCTATTAAAATTGCTAATAAAAACGATACATAATATCAAAACATGCCATAATTTCAATACATAAAATTATACATTATTACATTTCACTAAAAAGATTTCCTTATTTTTAAAAAAAAGTAATGTTTATTTATTGAGGGCGACTTTCAAAAGGCTTTACGAAGAGGCTTGGCAAAGGCTACGTGGCTTATCTATTAACGATCAGGCTAATGAACGAAACTTAATGTTCGTAACTTTCGCTAATACAATACCTACGTACGTACGTGGTATTTAGTAAACATATTCTCTTTTGTTCAAAGCTGATACGAAGTGATACGAAGTCTTGACATAGTTTATCGTAACTTTCAAAGATAAATAATTACCAAATTAATCCCAATAAATACATACAAACAGGTAAATCGAAAATTTATATATATTTTGAGATTCTTGATTAACAAATTCACCACAAAAATATTATATTTCGTGGCCAATACTCACTAGAATAATCAAGGCATAAGGCTACTTTCATGTGATCTAATAAAATATATGTTTACTTGGTAAATTTTAATACGATTTATTAAAAATTAGTCAATGTAAGAAACTTACGCGTTGTAGTATTTGGGAATTTAACGTTAAGGTTCATTTATTTGTGCTTAAACTATTTTTTTCTGTTACAAAATAATCAAAAATTCTAATATGTTAAAGTCATATATTTGTGTTAATGTAACTTTTATCTTATACCGATGTTATCAAAGATTATTTTGCTAGCAAACAAAAATAAAAAAAAATGCTATCTTATAACGTGAGATACGCTATTTTTGTAATAAAACTTCTAACCTGTTTATAGACGAATTATGGAAGTATCGCTATTCAACCAATTTATTATTGATCATAAGTAAAATATCGATATGAAAAATTAAAAGTTTATAAAAGTAACTAGCATGTGACTCGTCGCATTACTTCGGATTACTAGGTAATATGTTAAGAAAAGAGTATATATAAATCATTTTTCATATAATTTTGTTTAGTACATCAGCAAATTTAATAGGGCGTAATATTGCGCAATAATTTACGAAGCGTAAGAAAACCATAATATTACATAATAACTTTCGCAATATTGCAAAATATATAATTATGACGTATTACGTAAGATAATTATGCAATATTACACAAGAAATTACACAAATTTACACAAAATAATTCGAAATAATTTGAAACAGATTAAAATAAATTAATATGAACTCAATGATGCCTCTTCTTTATACAAAATCAACAATATAGAAGTCAACCTAACTAAATCTGATCTACTTTGTATCCCCTCCAAAAATTCAAAAACAATAAATCATACTTTTATATTTAACAATCAAGTAATTTCTCCTACAAAACCTACGGATATAATTAGATACCTAGGTATCTACTATGATGGTTCTGGCTCATCCAAACCAACTCTTGACACAATATACAACAAAATAGAAAACTTTTTAATACTTATTCGTTATAAA